TTCAGGGAGAAATATGCCACACCGGGACTCGGTTATTTACCAACAGCAAGTTGGACGCAGGCCGATGAGACGCCAATATAGTTCCCTTTGAAGTCTGACATATTGCCTGCTGCTTCCAATGCTGTTTTCTTGGCCGGCAGACAAATAACTGAGGATGTTTCAAAAATTACCTCCCGTTGAAGTCAAGGGGGAAAAAATTATTGTGATTGGCTCATCTCAACAGACATTGATCTCCCTCTCCTCCAGGGGATGAAAGGTGACTGCCCCGGAGTGGGGTCCATCTCCCGTCCTCAGAGAGCCATCTCCCTCAGGGTCAGTCTTCCCACACAGCTGTTCAAGAAAAAGTCAGCAAATGTTCAGCACCTTGGCTGTCAACGGAGATATGTAACGAGCCATCAAAACATTTTCCTGATGTCTTGGGCTGACTTTTGTTTGAAGAGCATAAGAGGATCTGACATAGAAAACATGCTTTGCAGTGGTTTGAGGTCAGAGAGATGTTACTGTCAGGCTACTAGGACCCTAAAAACCCACGAGAACCCAAACATTCACCGAGGCATGGAATCGATTTCTGAACATTAGGGATTCTTACTGCAGAATCTTATCTTGTACCAAACATCCTAGATGTGCATCTCTAATGGTAGAACCAAAGAATTTTGAGTTATAATTTTTTAAGAAACATTCTAAAAGTAGTTCTCCTTAATTGAGAAAAAGGGGATCTTAAAGGCTATATGTCCCACCTCCTAACTGGTAAGGGATGATCCCTGTATCCTTTGAATACCTCAAGCGAGGGAGAGCTCATCACGCAACACCATTGGACAGCATTAGTACAATGTTAAAGTTATAAACGTATAATCAAACCAATGCCCCACCTCTTATTGAAGCAGGTTTTATAAGTATGAATTAACTTTTAACTTGCGGTCACTCAGAATGAATACAATGATCTTTACTGAGTAAAATCTTCAAAATTAACATAACTTGTGGGACTGATGCTATTTTACAGCTAAGACTACAGCATTGCAAATTTTTCATTCATTTGCTTCCTTGTACATATATAAGTTCATTATTTTCCATTTCTACTTAATTCAGTGTGTATTTATTACTCTTGGTGCAGTATTTTAGAATATACAATCTCATTATAGGGTGACATTATATCCCATTGCCTGAAGCCCTCCGTGTGTATACCTATTAGTTTGGGTGCCAAATTTAATTCAAGGGTTATAAAGTTTTAAGTATTTTTTTAATTATACTAAAACTCGCCACAAATGAAGACTGGAATCCCCTGCCCTCCATCTTCTACCCTTCTCAACCAGTAAGGTCTTATTTTATTTTGAAATGACTGATCTTCTTGACTGTGGAGTATTTTTATTTACTACAAGCTCCTCCGTGCTGCAGAACCACCTCCGTGGAGAGGCTGGAGCTTGGCCCTCTGTTAGATGGACTGGCCCTGAGCAACAGGGCGCCCCTTTCACTAAGATGCTGAAAACTGAAATACATTAATAAATAATAAAAATAAATAAAAAATGAAAAAGATGCTGAAAACCAGAGAAGACCTCTCTGAGGCAGGCACATCGTGCTGGCAATGGAGAAGTTCTCCTACCTGAGAAAGCATTCCCTGCACTTGGCCATGTTTCTTTAATCTACGAGGGCCTCAGTCTATCTGCCTACAAAAGTGCGTGGTGCTGCCCACTTCACGGGGCCATGGCAAGGATGAAAGTGGGGGGAGCCACTGGGAACCCCCAGCCACCAGGAACAAAGAGAGAAAGAAATAGAGAGATGTGTAGTTCCACTTTTCCAGCCTGTGAGAGGCAAGGGCTCCTGCTGACCTGAAAGAGAGAGTCACCTGCAGACAGAAGCAGCCCCCCCCCAGGGGACAGACCCCATTACCCTACTGTCATTGTCCAAAAGCACAAAGGGCAGGGAACACGCAGGAGCCTGAGAACTGTAGGGACCAAAGGACAAGACCAGGAAAGGCAATAACTGATGGACCCACAAAGAAACTCTGAAAACACAAGACGTCTTGATTCAAAACTTACCTGTAAAGACAGTGTGCCAGGAACGGTTTTTAGGAAGCCCTCTGGTCCCTTGATAGAATACATTCATAATTTTTCACACTGGAATGTGTCCATCCCATGTTCTCGCTATCCTAAGCTAAAAGCCTAATGGCAGTTCAATGGTCACTCGCAGAGGGGATTAAATTTCAAAGCACCTACACAGGCAGCATTCTGTAAGGTCCATTCAAATGATTAACAAAACTGTAATTGGTGATACTATGTTGGTGTAAAATATTAAGACCCACAAGGCTGAAGAATGGGTTTGGACAACCGCAAAGTGTCATCATTGTTCTGGTTAACTCACGGTCAAGTAGGTGGAAGACACTCTTCTGTTCATTTATACATGCTACTAAAATCAAATGGGAAAAAAATGAGAACAGTAGGAGATACCGCCCCAAGCAGTATTTTCCCGGCAAAGGCTGCATCTCAAGAACCCTTCAGAGCACTCTGGGAATGCATAGAAGTTTACGAATCAATTTGCTAAATTGGCTTGGCAGGAAATCATGCTTTTGTGTGTGGGTCCAGCTGAAAGGCATCTCAATCAATCTACCAGGCCTTCCCAGGGCACTGTCAACCAGTGCAGAGAGAATCAGGGGACACCCTGAAAGGAACATGGATTCAGGGTCAATTAGCTGGGCTCCACCTGCCACCTCACTGGCCGGGGTACTCTGGATGAGTCTGAGAGCTCACTGAGAAGAGGATTCTTTTATGATCCTTGAAACACACATGGTGCTGGCAAGATGGCATGTCCAATATATCCCCAAGAGTCAAGCACTGTGCTGAGTCTGACCCTGGGAGTGCAGAGCTAAACAACTCAGAATGGCAGAAGCCCACCCCCGCACCCCTAAAATCTCTCTGCACTATAGACCAGGTGGACAAGTGACAGAGAGAGAGGACAGTTCTGAAGACATTAATATGAAATGCTTGCATATACTTAACCAAAATAGGGCTTTAATCTGGAAGAGCCAAACTGAAGTTCTAAACTAAGAATTCTTAGATGTCAAACGTATTCCATTTTACGATCTGTATAATTTTGCCTTTCATGTGTCGTTAACGTGTAAAAATTATGCACATGATTCATCTCTTTCAAAAGCACACGTGGCCGCTCACAGTGGGCTTCCCAGGGGCTGGCCACAGCCAGAAGAGCCTTCGGTCCTGAACGCATCAGAGGCAGAAGCTACAGGCCCAGAGCTGCAAAGGTATCTCAAAGCTGACCCCATGGGCCCTCTCACTGCAAAACTGAGGCTTGAAGAGGGGGAGTTGTTTGCTCAAAATCAAACAATGAAGGCCTTGGGTTAGGATTTTTAGAAAACCACTCTAAACCTGTGACCAGAAAAAAAAAATTGCCACAGAGCCTTATTCCCTGATATTTCTAATTCTATAGTCAATGTCATCAGCCTGTCTGGTACAGGGTCTGCCCTTCGGGAAAGTTTTCCTCCAATATCATCATGAAGGAGAAAGACCTGCCAAGACAGGTCAAGGTCAACTTACACTTCCGAGTATGATACATGATGCAGGGCCTACTATCTAATACGTGTAGGGGTGGCAAATCTGAGAGACTGAAATAAAAATCATCAAAAGGACCCTTTCAATATTATATACCCAGCACTTACTGTCCCATGGTAACTGACACCATGCTAGGACCGGAAGGTCTCAAACATTTTAGCATACATTTCAGAGTGTCTGTCCTTTATGTGCCTTCTTCTACAGAAATCAAATTCACCACATTAACTTCTGAGCACAATGACTTCTAATCATTGATTAGTGGGTTTTAAAAGGGAATAGCCCACACAGAGCAAGATTTACCAACAGTCAGGAAGAATTCGGTCCCTGTTTCATAATTCTCCAACTGCTGAGCCTCACTGATTACTAATTCTGGTTCTGTCTCTGGGATTAAGGGAATGTTCTATCTCGAATGTGCTAATTTACGGACCAGGCTGTTCTGAGGCTAATTTCCAGTTCAAACACACTTCAATGCTTCACAGCAATTCTGTACCCTCATAGGAGACGGTCAAGACCAGAGCAGGACAGAAGCTGCCGGAGGCACAGTCAGGGAACCTCACGTATTTTAGGAATGAAGACATCACAGAACCTGTCTATGGGCAGAGGGAAAGGAACCAGGGGAGACAGTTCACTATGAAGCTGACGTGCAGGGGATGGAGATGGTCCTCCCTAGAAGCTGACACAGGGATGGGCCCCAGGGCATCACTGGAGGGAAGGGAGAGGAGGTACAAAGGCAGGCAGGTGAGGAAAAGAAGAGAGGGAGAGAGGAGGAGAGAGAAAGAGAGAGAAAGGAAGACAGCCAAATAAAGGCCCAGTGCAGAGACACTGTGAAGGAAGGTAAGTCAACATTAGATACACAGGTGGATTAAAAACCTCTTTGCCGAACGGTTTGGAATTTAACAGAGAAGTTCGGTTCAACCACATATCTGTATATTGTAGGTGTGCACTCAGGGATTGGACTTTATTCTGCTGAAAACAGTTCTAATTAATGGTTTCTCTTAAAGAATGTGCTCAATTTGGGATGGGTAAAGAAAGAGATCATTCAGTTAGATTGATTTTTGTGGAATAACAAGCCAAAACTACTTGAATCCCAGCCTTTAACAACGTTATATATCTGGGGAGGGGGGGGAATCCCTCCTCCTAAAGAGAAACTCAACCCCTAAATTAGCAGGGTTAATTCACAGTGTGGACATAAGAAATAGCAAATACTCAGAGTTTGACATTTGGGTTGTCAAAGTCAGACAAGAAAGTAGACTAAATTCTATACAATAAGCTTTTCTGATCACAGAAATTACTAAGAACTTGATAGATTTCTTGGCTGTAACAACTTGTAAGTATCTAGAAGAGCCCAGATTTTTGAAGCCCTGAGGATACTTGCAAAAACTAAGAAATTTGGCAGTAGTCTTTGCACACAATTTGGGTTTTCTTTCAGAGTTGATATCTTACCAAATACAGCCATCTGTGTTCCCTCTGGGAAAGGTTCCACTGTTCTGTTGCCATTGACATGATGTTTGGCTAAAAAAAAAGGGAAAAAGAAAGAAAGAAATGCAAGTTTCAGTGTAAAGTTCTACGCACATACTAACACATGTCAGTAAATGTGTCAATTAATTTACTTCTCATTTATAGTTAGAAATGCACCAACCCTTACCCTTGACTTTTGATTATTTTGTTTTTGATCTCAGTGACAGAATGGCCTAAAGATCATCAAGGTCAGGTTTGTTGTTTTACAAAGGCATGTACCAAAGGGCCTGAGTTTATATAGAGCCGGACAGTCAGTGACAACTGGGTCAATCCAGCCTGAACACTCCCAACTCCTGGCCAGAGCCCCCCATGCCAGACTGTCCCCTGGAGAACAAGGGAAGCTCTTGGTTTCAGGCTGAACTGGGAGTGGCTTCTTCCCGAAGACTCTTAACAATATGAACAGGGATGCAATCAGTATTTAAAAAGAGAGAAACCCTAGGACCAATGTTTCAAGAAACAGGACAGCAGTGCATACCTTTGAAAGGTTCCTCATAACCTGGTCAAGCGCTCACTAATATGGTGAGGACCATTGGTTAGTGAAGTCAAAGTAACATAATGAGCCCCCCATGTGGAGGTCAAAGCTCTTATTCTATGATCAGCACCCCACAACCCCTGCCAGTGGTTTTGAAAGCATTTGCCTTTACCCAGAGAGTCGGAAACCCATTAAACTCTTTAACCCACAAGCCCCACTTGTCAGAATTTAACCGAAGGAAAAATGCAAGAGGAAAAACAGAGTATGCACGTATTTATTAAAGTATTACTTATAGTAATGAAATCTTACAATCAACTCAATAGCCCAAAGTGGGGAAATTACTTGGAAAATTTCTATTTACGGTTTATCAAATGAATGGAATATTATGCAACATATTTTAAATATATCATGAAGAGATGTGTCAAAATGTAGAGAAATAGGCTCAGCACCCGTAGCACAGTGGTTACGATGCCAGACACATACACGGAGGCTGGCGAGTTCGAACACAGCCCAGGCCAGCTAAACAATGACAATTGCAACAAAAAATAGCCAGGCGTTGTAGTGGGTGCCTGTGGTCCCAGCTACTTGGGAAGCTGAGGCAAGAGAATCTCTTAAGCCCAAGAGTTTGAGGTTGCTGTGAGCTGTGACACCACGGTACTCTACCATGGGCAACAGAGTTAGACTCTGTCTCAAAAAAAAAAAAAAAAAGGTAGAGAAATATATGGAATAATGACAAGGGAAAACAATCCTATTACATCTTCTATGAATACTTATGGGGAAAGACGAGCAGAGAAACACACAGAAATGAAAACAGGAAGAGTGTGCAAGGTATTTATTTTTAATCAATTTCCTTTATCATTGTTAGATTTTTATATTGTCTAAGATGAAAATATGTTTGAATTTTTAAAAATCAACAAAATTAGAGATTTCAAAATATTTTCCACACGATTTGGTTTCCCAGGACTGTCCACAGCCCAGCTGAAACACTACACAGTCTCCGTAAAAAGCACACGCCATTTGACATCTGCTCTGGGGCACCTTGAAAGCACACAGATGGCCTTCCTGTCCAATCCTGATTTCCTTCCAGCACCCCCTGCCTTTGGAAATAGGCCCACCATTCTCCTACTTCCTAGTCATCCTCACCCCTTCTCTTCCTCACTCCCCACGTCTAATCACACCAACTCTAGTAGAATTCACCCCATACGCATCTTTACAATCCCTTTCCTTCTTCCCTTCACCATTCAACCCCTGCCCCCCACAGGGACCTCTTTGTCTGGACTCCTACCACCGCCTTCCAACTCCTCCACATCCCTTCCCCAACTCATTCTTCCCAATGTAGCACAATTAGCCTTCAAAAGGGAAAAATCTAATTATGTGACACAACCTTCCCAACCCCTTCTCACATCTTTCACAATTTCCCAATACTCTTTAGCCAAAGTCAATACTCTTCAGCACGGCCTTCAAGGCCCTGCGTGGTCCTCATCCCTCTATGACAGCCTCCCCAATCTTGGGACCAAGCATCCTTTCTCTGCAGCACTCCAGAGTTGTGCTTTACAATTAAACGTCATCATTTGGACGAGGATGGTACCTATCAGTAGACTGTAAGCTCAGGGAGGGGAGGGGGTGTTTCTCCTCAGGCCCAGCATTTCCACAATCCCGGGACAATGTACTAGTCCAGGTGTTCAATGAGTATTTAAGCTAATGAATGAAGTAAATGATATTAAAAAGTCTCTCTTTAGCCATTCTAAAAAATGCATTAAAAATACATATGGACAGTTATGTGTCACTTGATGGGAACATATTTTGATGCAATGTCACGAGGCAGTAAGAATTTTTCAGTTCCATTATAACCCTACAGACCACTGTCATATATGCAGTCCCTTGTTGACCAAGACATGATAAGTCACATGACTGTAATACACCTTTATGTAATATGCACATGTGTCCCTTATATAAAAATAATCACTGAAAATGGCCAATAGTTCCCCCACCAGGTGCCCTGGCAAGCAGTAGTCCATCTGGTCTGCTCCTGCAGCACCCACCCAGCATCCCTTTCCCATTTACCCACTCCCCTCTGAAGCTGGCAGTGCTGCGGGAGACCAGACAGAAATGCCCCGTGCACTGGAGAGGATGGATGAAGTTTGTCAGCTGCTCCCTGCTTACTGAAGTGGATCAAGTGGGCCCTGTCTTGTCTTTTATTCAAGAACCTGAGGCCCAAGGATAACAGGTTCTGTAAACTTCATTCTGCACTTTCCTTCTGAAATACAGCTGAGTCCTGTGGAGGGCAGACGCAGCACTCGTAGTAGAGACAGCACAGAACCCAGGGCTAAGATCATGGGCTCCAGAACAAGACAGCCTGCCTGTGACTCTCAGCCCTGCCCCTTCCTAGTCATTTGACTTTGCCTTAGTCAGTTAACCGCTCCATGCTGCTGTTTCTTCACTGTTCATGTCTTCCTCTGTACACACCTGATGTTTTGAGAATTAAATAAATATGAAAAGCATTTAGAACAGTGTCTAGTACATAGCAAATACCATGTACTGTCAGGCTAGTATTATCACTTATGTGTGAACTTCACTTCTCACAGTATTTCATGACACATATCTGCATATGCTCCATTGCCACGTCCATGCAGACATCACTAATCAACCACCGCACACTTCCATTATCCCCAAATGTCAACAGAATCCTTTCCCAACACAGGACCCTACACAGTGAGTCTCTTACTGCTTGGAGGTGGCATGTATGATTAAATCATCTTGCCATTCCTGGTCTGAGTGAATAAAATAGAAATACAGTCCAAAGGAAGAAGCCATTTTCCTCATTTCTACATGATACATTGCAATAAAACCCTCTGAAAATCTTCCAAACTCTATAAACAGCTTGAAAGAGAATGGAGTGGGGGGGTGGGGGGATATGAGAGCTACTTTCCATTCCGTAATGAGAAAATAGAATGCTCTTTAAAATCAAGCAATGGCATTCTTTTCCTGGAAACCATGGGGAAGTTTCTAAAGGCATTTTCCCATTCAAACTCTGCTAAGGCAAGTGTTTGGGGGCCAAAGAACTAGAGATATTTTAAACTCTTTATATGGGTTAAATAAAATTTGGGGGAAGAGTGGACTAACCTGGGAACTTAAATTAGCATTTTTTAACTTTTGTTCTAAAATTGACAGAACATTTTACTACAGAAATAAACCCACAAAACAGAAAACTCATTCAGTGACGAGGTCCCAGCAACAGATCACCAGCTGAGTGTGCAGTGGGGACAGGAGGCCTATGACAGGGACATCTGCTGCCCGGCCACAGCAGGGTGAATGCCTCCAATCTGGCTGGTTGGCCGCAAGTGCTTGTTCCTCTCTCTGCTCCATGGGGGCACGTTCCAAAGCCACATGCCCCAGGAGGACAACCTCTGCTAATGGCAATGACTTGTCCTCTGCCAAGGGTATATGAGGACGAGGAATATATTTTCATTTATCTTGAAAGCCAAGTGCTTGAGGAGCACACAGGTTAATTAGACTGGGTCACCGTCAACTTTTGTAGAGATTTTGAAGGGGATTTGGGGGACATACTCAAAGGCTCTCGAAGGTGATACTGACATTGCTTTTTATTTTGAGAATGTCTAATGCATTTCAAATTTTATGACTGTTTTCTTCCTTAAAAAAGATACAATAAAACTGCTCAATAATAATGAACCTGCAATAACTCAAATTCAGGAATAAATTCATCCCAGCCAGGGATGAGCTGCCTGTCCTGTGCTCAGACTAGAAAAGCTAAAATTCATTATCTTCTGGGAGAGGAGGTAGGGGGATCGAGTGATAAATGACAGATAAGTGGGGGGACAGGAAGATGCGTCCCCAGACTCTCAGTATTCAAGGGTGTAGGTCCAGTTGACTGGGTGAATAAGGAGACACTACCTAATTGGAGATTCCAGAAATAGCAGCCACTGTTCTGAGAGTCCTGGTCAGTCACTGACCAACCGAAATCAACCCAGGCCTGGAAGAGCCTTGGATCAGACCACACCCACAGAGCAGCTGGGCAGCAAGGAGTGTGCACCCCTCCCAGTTGTGTTATTAACCCTAGGACAGCCCAACCCACATGTCACACCACTGAGCTGTCTAGACTGACTTACCGTATGTCACCCCTAAACATTCAAGCCGTCACTACACTGATCAGAGGAGAGCAAGGCCCTAGAGGGGCTGAGACAGAGCACACTGACCTCACTAATATGGCCATAAAAGTTCATCAACCCCAAAACAAAACATGGTCTCAGCGTCGCTCCTATTATCTGTTTCTCTGAGGCTCTTTCTCAAGGTCACGAAGTCATGGTGTCTCAAAGGACAAGTCAGACTGGAACTAAGTAGAGTTCCTGTGTGGCCCACAGCCTGCCTTGGACCAGTCTCTCCTGTGTCCAGCAGCAGGACCCTTAGGGACACTGAGTAAGCACCCTGAGCCCTGATCCCACCCAAGGCACCCTCTGCAGCAAGCTAGAGATGGTCTGATTGTCACTCATTCAGATCTGGAATG